AAGATTACAGCTACTGGGGCTATACTCGTCTCAATATCGTCAAATCAGAGGCGATATGATGTTACTGTATCGGATTTTCCAACAGCCCAACTATCCATGTAGATCTCTTTTGGTTCTGTCAACTAATGTCCATCTCAGAGGGATTCCACTGAAGTTGGCACTCCAAAATAGCCGTCTCGACTGCAGACGTCATTCGTTTGTAGTCAGAGTGTGCAGCAAATGGAACCCTACCATCTCACGTGGTCTGTGCACCAACATTGGTAGCTTTCAAGCGTCAGTTTGATGATGCTCTGGGAAACATTGTGTTTCAACTTCCAAATACATAATATTTTCTCCTATCAAAAACATTACATTACTATTTTACTTTCATGGACTTACTGTGATCTTGTGAATCGTGTTCCGAACCAAAGTGTAAACACCCTATGGGATTTGATAAACGAAGTCTTTGTAAGTTTTTTCCCCTAATATAAATTTGAACTTTGAGTCAAAGTACCGCTTGAAATAAAGGCCTTACTATGCTACTTCGTCACACCTTTTCAACCGCTGTTTCGAGGAACAAAAAATTGTCGACTGTTGTAGACCTGTGCGCATCACACCAGTCCCAACTAAGAAGCTGGGAAATTACGACCAATCGCCTGTACTTCTATTTTACTGAAAATTTTCGAAAAGTTTGTGCTTAGTAACATTATTCCCAATACTGGGCAGATAGATGACAACCAATTCGCTTATCGCAAACAACGTTCTACCTTAGATGCTCTTGCGCACTTGGTAAATTCAGTTTTGCGATCCCTAGACATGCACAGCAGGTCATTACATGTGTGTTTCCTCAACTATAGTATTACTTTTAACTGTGTTGACAGGAGCAGACTTTTGCCTCTACTCCAAGGTGCTGGATTGTTCAATAATACCCTCTTTCTACTCCAAGATGATTTTACTGGTAGAACACAATTCACAAAGTTTATTGTAAAAACCTCTGACTCCCTATCAGTCAAGTCATGGGTGTTCCACGGAGCATGTCTGTCACCCTTTCTCTTCTCTTTCTATATTCCTGACCTTCCCACTAACCCAGATAGTCTTCTTATGAAGTATGCTGTTGATGTCACAATAGGTCCCAAATTCCAAAGTGATTTCCGCTTCTCACATCTTCAAACCAGTTTACCTGCCTTACAAGTTATCTCTCAATGCCTTTAAATGTAGAGATGTCACCTTTTCTCTCGTCAAAGTAGAACGGCTACATTCTTTTGAAAGAAATTGTTCAGCACTCTATATTAACAACTAGCCTGTTCCCCCGGTAAATTCTCTACAACACCTCGGTATCACTATCTCTTAGGATCTCACCTGGACCTCACATTTGACTTCTACTTTTTTAAAGATTAGACGATTGTGTTTCTTTATTACCCGCTTGTGTTCCTTAAAAGTTCCACTGTATTTACTCACCCGATCTGTATATTCTTGTTTTGTTACTCATGTTCTCGCATGCTTCCCAGTTTTATTTGCCGGTCTAAGAGCTAAAGAGTACACAATTCTACGCCGGTCTATTAAAATTATTTCTCGCACAAGCGGTATTCCTTATTTGCCCTTGCTTAACTTTATCACTGATAAACATTTTACCTCTTGCGATAACTTCTGTAACAATATTCTATCAGACACTACTCACCCATTACACACAGAACCTAAACAATGCATATCCCTATTCTGTAGCTAGATGTCGTTAGAAACTGGTGTATGTTCGTACCATTGCCTATCGTTTGTCCGTCATCTCCTACCATTCAAGGTTTCTGGCTCGAAAAAAATCCGTTAGAGAAAACTTTTTGAATTTCCTACGCAATTGATATTAATTTTCAAACTTTTACTCCAAATTCCTTCGAATTTACGGTCTATTTTTTTGCCTTGTTTGTGACTGTATGCGACGATAAATGATCCTGGAATGCAAGAAGCCGAGAATCCATTCATTAGGATGAATAAAGCGATCTCTGACTTGAACGAGACAGTGGCGGTCAATCGATGTTTGACCCAATTTGCCAAAGCTTACACAGCTCCGGAGGTTCCGTTTGAACCGCGCTTGCTTTTTGAGTTCGCTCCATAAATCTCTTTCTCTCTCTCTTTGTCAGGCACAACTCTTAAACAAAGAACACCATTTCCCAAGCGAGCATGATTCGGCCTCTGTAAATATCAGTAGCCGTTAATTTTGGGTTGTGTAAACATCCCGAAACGAAGTCCCGTGTCATAAATTGCTCGTCAGCAAGCCGAGCGCGGAACTTGGTTTCGGGTTGTTTACACAACCCCGAATGGACGGCTGCTGAGATTTTGTATTTGTATTTATATAATTTTTGCAAGCTGATATATGCTTATATTTCAGTTAAAAATTGTACACTGGTCGTCACATTGGAGAAATATAGAAGTATACACAGATCCAAAAGAGTGTTGTGTAGAATAAATGTCTCCAGTTTGATTTATTCAATTAAAGATTGACGTAATTCATTTAAAACTCAATCGTTCTTGGCCAAGATGCGAGCCAGATACGGTATAGTGGAGATTTTATGTTATGCTATGTTATGTTATTACCGATAAGAGGAACGAGTGATCGAGTGGGAGCGACAAGAAGATAAGTCAAGATGCAAAATACAAAAAAATACAAATCAGCGCGCGCCCTTCGATTGGCTGCGCTACACTTGCACGCTCTCCGTCACATTGTGGGAATTTTCACCTTTTCACTCACTGTCATGCGCCGTCGTTACTCACGGGATGATATTATTTGTTTCAAACGTGCCAGGACAAGCTTCGATGGTTCACCGGTTTGTGCGTCTCCATTTTCTCACTGTCCAGGCTGGACCAAAAA